GGGGCGAAGAGGAGGCAGGAGGGAGGAGGGGGGGAGGGAGGAGGAGGTGGAGAAGGCAGAGGAGGAGGTAGAGGAGGAGGAGGAGGAGGAGGAGGAGGAGGAGGAGGAGGAGGAGGAGGAGGAGGAGGAGGAGGAGGAGGCCGCTTACAGGCTCTCGGGAGGCCGTGCTGCGCGCGGCCGTGCGCACTCCCCCTCCCCCGCCTCCCCCTGCTGGGCGGTCTGCGCGCCGTCTGGGGGGTGGCTCGCTCGGACGTCATCGAGCCTCGCCCCAGACGTCTTCGGCTCTTCTCGGCTTCGAGCCTAGTCGCCTGCGCATCGCAGGCAGGGCGCGGCACTCCGCTCACGGGCTGCTCTGCAGGTGGGACGTGCGCCAACGCCCTCCTTGGTGAACCCCTGGCGCGCAGATTCGGCGACGCGGTCGGTGCATCAGGAGGGTGCTCTGCCAGGGCAGGGGAGGGGCTGGTATTCGTGCCGATATCTGATGCGGTTGCGGAGGTGGTGCCCAAATCCGTGAGTCACACGTGTCTGTGAGGGGGTTCACGGGTGTAGCATGTAACATCACCTGTCCGCCCATTACACCGGAAGCACTACAGAATACTCGATATCGTAAATTAAACGGGCGGCGAAAATTAGAACCGATAGCAATAACTGACGTTCCGATCAGTTCAAAATGGCGGCGGCGGGGGAGGGGGGCACCATTTCAGTACTGCAGTGAGCACCGAAGAAACCGGAGTGATGTCCGCCCTCCCTCCCCTCGGATGCCCTCATAAGTTTTCGGGGGCTCCGCGAGGCCATCGGGAAGCGGCGCGGGCCGTCACGGAAGTCGACCGCGCAGGGCATCACGTGCAGCATGCTCACCGGGGCCCCTCGGCCCTCCCTGGGCGCCTTCGATGGAGAATCGAAGCTGCTCTCGTGGGGGCTGGGAGGAAGAGGAACACAGGGGAGGAGGGATGAGGAAGGAATGGAGGGGAGGAGGGGAACGAGGAGGGAGGGAAGAAGGAGGGATGAAGGATGAATGGAGCAAAGGAGGTTGGGAGTGGGGAGGATGAGGAGGGCGACGACTCCGGCCTGTACTGACTCTGGTCCACGCTCTTCTGCTGGGGGTCTTCGGAAGCCCGCGAGGGCCCCTCCGAGGTGGAGGAAAGATCAGGATGAGGCGGCAGGAGGTACGAGGGAGGGGGATACGATAATGAGACTGGGATGGGGATGAAGATGAAGATGAGGATGAAGGGGACTGAGGATGGGGAGCACGAGGAAGAGAGCGCGGGTCTAATACCTGAGCGGCTCATGTTAGGTATCAAGCGATAGTTTTACCATCTCCACAAACCTGCTTGAGATGTGGATTACTCCAGGCGGGATAGCATCCAAGTGTCTGGCGGCAAGTGGGAGCACATCGGTGGGAGCAGGAGACAGCAGCGGGGGTGCTGGCGGGGGCGCCGCGGGCAGTGGCGGTGGCTACGCCAGGGGCACCGTGAGCGCGCCGGGCAGCTGCGGCGGCGACGCCGCGGGCACCGGGGGCGCCGCGGGCAGCGGCGGTGGCGCCGTCGGCGACGCGCTCAGCGCCACGGGCGCCGTGGGCGCAGCGGGCAGCTGCGGCGGCGATGCCGCGGGCACCGGGGGCGCCGCGGGCAGCGGCGGCGGCGCCGTCGGCCACGCGCTCAGCGGGGTACGCAAGGCCCAGGGGGAGAAGTGAGCTGCAGGGGAGTGGAAGGCGAATGGATGGGGAGGCAGGAGGGGGGGGGGAGAACGATGTGTGGCACCCCGCGAGTGCGGGTAAGAGCGAGGGGGCGGCGGCCACGTGTTGCACCCAAGTACTGCCCCTATCTTTCGGCCCCAGGTATCGCCCCCATGTGCTGCCCCCCCCCCCAAAACATTGCCCCCCCCCATGCATTGCTCCCGCGTGTCGCCCTCAAGTGCCGCTCCCATGTATTGCCTCCAGGTACCGCTCCCGCAGACCGAGCCCTCCAACCAGCCACGTGCTCGCAAGGAAGAAGCAAGGTCGTTCGGCCCCCTCATTTTGACACGGGCTGGCCCAGACGGCAGAGGGAGTCGCGGGGCAAGGGGGCGACACGGGCTGTGCGGAACGGGGGCGGGGGGGAGGGGGCGGCGGCGGGAGGCAGCACGGTGTCACCCCGAGCAAGACCGACGACAGGAAGATGCGGGGAGGAGGGGCACCGACCAGGATTCTGGCAAGCAGGCTCTCCCCTGGTCGTCGAAGCACCACGAGCCGACGACGGCGGAATCAGCTTTAGCCTGGACGAGGGGACCGCTGCTGGGAGAGGCTGAGCTGGAAAGGCGCCAGCTAAAGGTCAAGCTAAACAGTTCGACTAAATAGCACGCATGCACGCGTGACCCGACTCTGCTGGATCACGGGCTCCGCGCCGCCAGTATGAGTCACGAGGCCGGGCCGAGGTGGGAGTAAATACCCTTACCCTGCATGGCTATAGCAATACTGCGCAGCACTCGCGCTCCCAAAGCATTCGAAGTAAACTGAGGCGGTAGAAAACAGGTTCGCTCGAAGGTTGCACCATCGCGTGACAATTCTGCTGCGCGCGCGTCACGCGTGAAGTAGAACGTCTCTGCACGTCCAGCGATGTTTCGAACATGACCGACTACTCCCTGCAGTTCTGAGTTACGGTCTCCAGGATTCCAAGACAACTCATGTAAACGAACCAAGAGCTTGGCTGTCCAGAGAACAAAAAAGCGGCAACAACGCTGGGGCCACAACAAGAAGAGCATCAGGCTGCTCCCGTCGTGAACTATAATCCCGCTGTTCTATCCTCTCTCTTTCATCTACACCTCACGTGAGCTGCCTCGCTGCCTAGCAATCTCCCGTCGGAGAAGAGGCGGCCAGCGGCGACATGGACTGGACTCCACCCCTTGGGCGCCCACACACGGCCGAGGGAGCACCCGATCCCTGAGCTTGATCAAGCTTTGGCTCAACGCTTGGCCGCACAGGCGTCTGCAAAAAGGCAGGCGGTGGCGTTGAATCGAGAAGAGCGAAACTAAACCCAGCAGCGCCCTGGCCCAGCGCAGCGCGGCAGCGATCGCTGTGCATCGGCATCAGCGCAGGCCAGCTCACACCATCCTTGGGCACCCGTCCAGCTCATTCCCCTGCGCCCTAGGGGGCCCATCGCACCCCTCTCGAGAGGGGCGTTGAGGGGCAAGGAGCACAACTCCACCATTCGTGGCTGGACTGCCCACTTCCCCTCCCCTCCCTCGGAGGCCGGGATTTGTGCTTTATGCACATGTATATAATATGTATGTAAGTCTGTATGTCTGTATGTCTGTATGTCTGTATGTCTGTATGTATGCATGTATGCATGTATGCATGTATGTATGTATGTATGCATGTATGTATGTATGTATGTATGTATGTATGTATGCATGCATGCATGCATGCATGCATGCATGCATGCATGCATGCATGCATGCATGTACGTATGCATGCATGCATGCATGCATGCATGTCTGTCTGTCTGTCTGTCTGTCTGTCTGTCTATCTGTATGTATGTATGTATGTATGTATGTATGTATGTATGTATGTATGTGTATATATAGACATATCTATATGTATGCAGCTCTTCCATCTGGGGAGCCGAAGTCCCAGGACTCTATGAGGCAATGGATGTGGATACCTCTGGGCCCCCCCATGCCTAAGAACATCCGTGTCCACTGCCTGATGGGCCCTGGGGCATCGGCTCCCCGGGCTCCAGCCGCGACCCCCTCGGGGAAACCAACAGAGATCGATATCGCCACTCCCCGGACCTCTCCCAGGCCGCGTCCTGACCAGAACTTCAAGGCGAATCCAGCCGTGGCGACGAGGGCCTCCAGAGGCCTAGAAAGGCGCAGCCGAGGTAAAGGCAACGGTATTGGTACATATTCACTGATCCCCCACCGTCGTGGGCGAAACAACTATATGTATGCACGGCCTCGCGGGCCGGTCCCCTGGGCCGCCACCCCACGGATACGGGGCGTTTTGCCCTGGATGCGCAGAACGTATCCGTGTGACCGCATATCCGCGGGATCGCGCCCTGGAATCCAGACCGCGAGGGTATGGATATGGATGCGCTCGCCGCTCCTGCCACCCCCCTGCCCACGGAGCCCACGCGCCTCCAGCCCAGGCGGCGACATCCAAACAGACCCTGCCCCCGCCAACCATCTACGCTCCTGAAAATCGATGGGAGGCGGGGGTGGGGTTCGGACTTCGCCACGTGCTCGACGCCCGAATTGCAAAGCCCACCCCCGCCGCCCACCGAGCTGCATGCACTGGTGACCGGTGAGGGCAGGAGCTCGGCGAGCTTGCCGCCGAGGCGTGCGCGCGCTCGCCGCTTCGTGGCCTTTTCCCCCTCCCCACGGCGCCCTGTGTAGCCAGCCTCGAACGCACCCCTATCCCGAAGATCAACGAGCCAGAAGTCGACGACAGTCTCAGGGAGGCGCCCCCAGAAACGGAGGGAATCCCCAGAGATCGGCAGCGAGAGGAGGCGGTGCCAATCGTAGGGATAGGGACATGCTCCAGGCTGGTGACTGTGCGCCTCCGCAGCCCGCAAGCCGCGCGCTGCGTTGGCTTACCCGCCGGCCTCGGCTCGGGCGCGCCGGGCTCGCGTGCGCCAGGCCGGCGGCAGGCCCTGATGCCGGCCTCTCGCCCCGACGTACGGCGCTGGTGCGTGTGCTGGCTCGGGTGGCGCTCGTCGGCCAGTCCCCTGGAGGTGGCGATTGCCCAAGTGATCTCTTGGCAGGGGCCGGCCCTCCCGGCAGTCCTCTTGGGCATGCCACGACATGTTCTCCGAGCCCGAAAATGGTTTACGAGCGAAGGCCATGTTCTCACAGCAGAACACCGATGTTAAAACAAAGCGGTCTCAGCCAGACATATTCTGAGAACATGTCGTGCAAATCACCAAAAAGGTTATTCGAAAACTATTTGGTGGGCCCATAGGCAAGCCAGGACGCTTCGCCATTACTTGAGATCTGGTGTGGGGGACTGGGAGGTGCTGGCCGAGAAACGAACCGTTTCGCTGGGGGCAGCCTCAGGTACGCCCGCGCGCACCAATACTGCGTACCCCATTCGGAGCTGCGCCACCGACAAGCTCTGGTTATCCGGGGGGGCGGGTGGGTACGTGAATCCGAGTTATCGCCAGACTACAAACAACAGTTTCCACTCCGCGGCCCCCAAGATCCCGACCCTCTCCCCGGGGGGTCGTGTTTTGTCCCGGCTCCGTTTTTCATTGCCCTGGGGACCAACAGCGAGCCACAGAGGCCTAAATCAAAGGAAAGCGCCCCGTCCGAACAACACACACCGTCGGACACCCGGGCCGGGGGGCGCTGAGCATGTAATGGCTCGGGTCGCGCTCGTCGGCCAGCCCGCGGACGGCGTGCGCGTCGCCCTCGCACTTGATGCATATCCCGAGAGCGAGTCCGTGACTCGTGGCTCTCACTGTGGCGCCCCGACCCTGACCGTCACCTGTGCGCGCGGGCCTCCCCGCTGCGCTGTCGCGGACTCCCCGAGCTGCAGCCGCCCGCTGCGAAGCTCACCGTCGCTCCCGCTGCGGCCGCGGGCGGGCCCGGCGTCCAGGCCCCCGGCGTCCGAAGAGCAGCCCTCGGCGACCGGCCCTGCTCCGTCGGCATGGCTGGGGCCCCGCGCGCTGACGGCGCCGCCGCGCAGGACGGTGCCCCGCCCGGGGCAGTCACAAACCACGGGGGCAGCAAGCTTCGATGTGCTCCTCGGCCCTCCCCCTCCTCCGCCCTCCCCCTCTCCCTCCCGAGATGGAGGACCCCCTTTTCTGCTGCAGCGCGGGGCCAGCGCATGCGAGCGCTGGGGCAAACGACATCCGCGTCAATGCAGTAACGGGTGGGGCCCCAGTCACCAAGTCACACCCAGGTCGCCCGCCACGTGCGGCCCCGTCCGAGGAGGACCCCCCCCCCCCCGCAAACTTCGGAGTCCTGCTCGCCCGTCCCACCGCTGGGAGGGGCTCGATAAATATTGTGGGTCGACACCCCTGCCCCGGGGGGCATTCTGTTTTGTGTGGGGGCATCCAAACAGAATCAAGGGGCCGAAACTGTCTAACGAATCCTCTCTCCCTCCCCGTTCGCCTCGCCGCATCCCTTGCAGGAACAAGGCCGCATCTCGGGGGGATGCGCCGCGCTCCCCCGATCGCCTCCCGCGTCCTGGCACGGGTAAGGCCGCATTGCACGGGGGTGCGCCGCGCCCCCCCCCCTTCTCGGAAGCGGCCAAGAGGGGGGTGTCCAAGAGTGGGGGGTGCAAATCATGACCGGCGGCATGTGCGCGGCCCAGCGGGGGGGCCAGGGACGCAATAAAATGAGAAGAGGCGCCACGAAATCTGGGGAGATATCATGGCCCACGCCATGATATCCCCCCCCTAGTCATCACCCCCCTCTTTGCCGCCTCCGACCTTTGGCCTCGCCGCGCCCCAGTAGGCACGCAGGAGCAGGGCCGCACTGCACGTAAGGAGGGCGGCGCGCGTGGGAGCGCCCTGGGGGCGCCCGGGGGGCGCCGTGGGGGGGCCCTCGACCAGCCCGAATCGCCCCCGCCGCTCCACATCGTCCGCCCCCGGGCCCCCCCATGGCCTCCCCGACGGCCAGGGGGCCAACCCGAGCTGCCCGCCTCCTGTGCTCGCCATCGCTCGGACGTCCATGCCC